AGAGAGAGAGAAAGAAAGTTTTTTTCTTCTTATCCTCTCTAAGTTTTTTTCTTCTTATCCTCTCTCTTCGTCTTCCTGTGTGTGTGTGTGTGTGTGTGTGTGTGTGTGTGTGTGTGTGTGTGTCTGTGTGTGTGTGTGTCATCCTACATTACCCATGGCACGAAACGCCATGCACCCCACAGCAAGCTGCGATACGACTGTTCATGCCATAGTTCATCAAATGGACGAATTCAGGACAAGCTCCATAGTGCAAAAGATGACTGAGTAGAAGAGGAAATTTAATAGGCAGTTTATCATCCACGTGGAAAAATTTGAATTGAGGGTGGGGCTCATTCGAACACTTCTGAGTGTCTCGTGCTTAATCAGGTTGATCTCATGGCTGAGGGCCTGGTTAGCCCGTATCAGCTGGTGCGTGGCATCGAGCTCATGTATCTCATGGTAATACATGGTATCCTGGAATCTTCGCATGAGGGCACGGTGCCCTTCATGAATCTCAGAAAATATTGACGCAGCCCAACATCTAGCATCTCGGGAGTCATCCCCATCCTGTGCTTCATAGCAGAAGTCAGGACAGATGGATGGGGGGTCCCCCCTTTTGATAAGCTTATCAATGAGGAAGGTCATGCGTTTCTCAATAGTCAAGATCCTGTCCCGGAATTCTTCTAAGTCTAATGGGGGCGCTGCCATGCTCTGAGGGAGGTGTAAGACTCCGGTATCAATCGGGATAGGTCGGGATGGTCACGGGAAAAAAAAAAAAAAAAAGGGGGGGTTCTACCACTGTGTGTTTAAATGATGAATAACTCCCAATGGACTTCCAGAGAGGTTGTTCAGCTAGCGAAGAGTGTTGTCATACGGAGCATTTGAATGTATAACTAAGTAGCCTGTTCAACCATCATTCCCTGACCGCATTCTTGCACAGAGTACAGAGAAGATTCGGTTGCTCACATACCTATGGAAGAAGGCATGATTGCAGGTGCATTAATCGGTATCCCCTACGGGTGGTTGTTGTTCAACCGAATCGCTAATCGAAGGGAGGCCTATGCAGCACTCTGGGCTTTTCCCTAATGCACATCCATCAGAGGCAATATAATTAGCAACTCCAAGTGGTCCATTCAATCATGGGGGGTAACAGAGATCTAGTGATGAAAAAAAAGGGGAAGGGGGGAAGAAAGACTACAAGTGTCAAATTACATGGGTAGGGAGAACCATAGAAGCGGAGGCAGATTAAGGGTGATTAGAGCCAGGGAGAGGATTTAGATAGGAGTGATAACAGGGGCAGCGGAATTTCCTGGTAGGGAGCTCTATTATGTTCCGATAATGGCCATGCCACTAAAGGGTGTGGGAGTAAGTAAATTTGCGAGCCAATGTGTGGTGGTAATTTGGGCAAAGAGGTACAGAGGGGTTTTCGGGTGGTGAGAGAAGGAGAAGAGAGAGAAGGGGGTCTGTCACAGTGACCAATCATACGCAGAATGTATGTGGGCAGAACAACTGCCAAGCAATGGATTCTGAGACATAGTACAACGAACAAACGACGTGCCAGGCTATATACCAAATTATAGAATCCTGTGAGTAGGAGCGGAGATTAATTCAATAGCGAATAAATTAGGAGAGGGATGATAGACCCAGCAACGCTCCGCTATCAGCTATTGAAGCGATCCTGGTTTATAGCCTCACTTTTTAAATTCTAGTGTTAAGAATCGATTGTCAATACATCCGCCCACAAAATGGGCAAGATTGATCTCAGTCATCACCCCGTTATATCGGGGGAGTCTGTCGATCAACAGTTGGGTTGCTTAACTTCCCGATGGGAGGTCATGAGCACGTGATCAAGGGGCCGGGCAACTTCGATGTGAGATTGGAGAACGTCATACCTGTGGAGGACTGATCTACACAGCCTCCCCTTTGGGAATGAAGGGTCAAGACGTACGGACTAGTTTTGAAGAGGATGCCTGGCCACAGGGTTTGTAGGACCTAGTATCCGATTCTATGTATGCATTACGTTGCCAAGCTCCAGACTCCGACAAAAAAAACCGGTTGGATGGAATGTCACCGTCCGTCGCATTACATTTATAATACTCGATCCAGATCAGCCTCCACATACCATCAAATTCAGGCTCTATGGTACCAATGGTGTTATGGGGAACTTGTTGGTGATCCTTGCTTTCGTAAGAATATCCTTAGTGCCAATTATCCTCCCCTGGAAGTAAAGAGAATCATTTGCACATCCGAGCCAGGATGATGGGTTTCAAAACGATATTAGGCAGTCACTGTGCCAATTCGATCACACATTTCACCCATACCGACAATAGTCGAGGGGGTCATACTATAATTCCTTGCTGCTACTAATCGGCCCGATCTCATGGCTCGGTCGACAAGATCTATACTTATGCAATGGAAAGATGTCTGAACGGGAATAGTGACCATGGAAAACCCAGGACTAGAAGCCAATAACTAGCATATCAAGAGTTGGAACGAGGAGCAGATTGGTGGTATAACAGGCCATGGACACCAGGAAACGGGGGGAGGCAATTATATACCCAGTAAGTACCAAAGTTCCACAGTCTGAACATGAAATAAGATTCAACAAATCATGATTCGCTACCCCTCCATACTCGATTTATGGAACCAATTGTAGTTAGTCGTGTTCCATAGAAGCCCCAGAACATCCTCGTTCGTTACTCCCCATCCCCTTCCCCCCACTTATATACGACCCCTTGACTAGTAACCAGGACCCTGGCTCGTCTATTGCTCGGGCACAGGATGGAGAGACAGGACCCTGAATACTAAATCTGGCTATTCTCAAAGCTACACACCCCCTCAGGAGAGAGCGAGCAGATCGTAGTGTGACTAGAAAAGCGACACTCTTCCCAGCATGTGCCAGCTCACTGATCCTTATTTGCAATGATGTTCGCCGATCCTTGCAATCCCGTAATCCTGCCACCAGATCGTCAATTAATGACCAGATCCCTGGTTCCTTCGTTGTATGGTCACTAGATCAAGCGTCAGGACTCAGAGTACCATGCCTAGCAGGTCACGAGGCTAAATACCCCCTTCCATTGCCTAGTTATGTTCATGCGCCACCTTCACCGAACTTCATCTGTAATCGGCACTATCTCCGCCATCAACCCCCCAATCAGGACGTAGGTGACAGGGCAATGGGAGAGGATTTTAAATACTAAGCCCAGCGAAAGTCAAAGTTACACATCCTTCTGCAATTATCAATGAGCACGAAAACAACACTACACCTAACTTGCGTCTCATCACCAAATTTTATTTACAGGGACAAACACTGGTATCCGTAATCCCATCATCAGTCAGGAAAGAAGAGATCAGGTACCTGGCCCCTAGGATCGAGCGACAGGACACAGGATACCACATCCGACAGGGCATGAAGCTACACATCCCTTCTCAGAGTCATTTATGTATTATAGAAAAAAGCATGAAGTAACACATCGGTCCCCAAAAAAAGGGGGAATCGCTGAAATCCATTGACTCTTACGCAAATGGCCAGGACACGAGGTTTGCAAAATGTCATCCTAGGAACAGCAAACCACATATGTACCAAATCTTAAAAAAGAATTCAAGCAGCAAGCAACATATATCCCATCCTCGTTTATACGCTACTCCGCCAATCTCCATTTGCTAAGAACAATCGCTGATATTCCCTCTCCATACCCAACAGGTCACGAGGCTAAATACCCCCTTCCAATGCCCAGCTATGTTCATGCACCACCTTCACCAAACTTCATTCGTAAGATCAATCGGCACTATTCCCGCCATCAACCCTTCAATCAGGACCCATGCTCCTCCGATGCTCGGTCACAGGACAATGGGGGAGGGTATTGAATACTAAGCCCAACTAAAAGTCAAATTTACACATCCTCCTGCAATTATCGATGAACACAAAGCAATACTACACCTAACTTGCGTCACGTCACCAAATTTTATCTTCAGGGACAATTACCGAAATCCCCATCTCCATAATCCACCACCAGAGTGATCAGGTACCTGACTCCTTCGATTGTCAGACATAGGATCGAACAACGGGACACGAGGCTACACATCCTCCCTCAGAGTCATATATACATCATAGAAAAAAGTGTGAAGTAACCCATCAACTCATCATTAAGGATAATCGCTAAATTCTATAAACTCTTACGCAAATGGCCAGGACATAAAGCAACAAATTGTCAGTAAACATACATCAAACCTTCAAAAAAAAGGGGGAAAAAAAACTGGGCAGAAAGCAACGCATAACCCTACCTCGTTGCTACTCAGTCAATCCCCATCCGCTAAGAACAATTGCTGATATTCCCTTTCTAAGGAAACTAGCCTCAATAAACCACCCCGACATTGTCTCCTCCTATTAAAAGTCATCAATCCTATATTTGAGAACAGGCTCCAAAACTCCCCAGACCGGATTCTACAAAGCCAAGGTGACGTGCTAACTCATGGGCTAATAACATAGTGCAGACGGTACCCTCGTAGGATTACCTCCGAAATGCTAATCATCATCGCCGATGGTGAGGAAACTCGGTCCGGTTTAGTAGAAATACCTAAAGAACAGCCAGGCCATAATGGGTATCCTACCAACGGGCTACCATTATGTATAGCTGAGCCCTCTCCTTAGAACTGCACATCTATCTAGGTGCAATCAAGATGCTAGGCAGAACTAGCTCCGGACAGATGACGGAGTGGATAACACAAGCTATCATCCCCTAGCATGGGCAGCACGGTAGGGG